TATATATATATATATATATATATATATATATATATTCAATGTAACAATATGTAACAACCATCCAAACAAGTTATTTATGTTATCATATTTTATTTATATATGTTATGAATGATGTTCTATTCACTCCTCTTTGCATTTTTTTCATTCGGTCCAAGAACTAAGAACGGTCGAAGTCCTGTCTCAGGAAATGAGCTTGAAGTCTAATATTTGTCGCCTAAGGAAAAATGGCTTTTCCAAGCCTATTGCTTTCTTGAGGTTTAACTTACAGTCAAAGAATAAACCAAATCGAATGATTGTTCTAGAATGACTGTTCCTCACAATTGCTCATTGTGATGCAACGAAACCATAGCAATTAGGATCTCAAGACGCACCAACACCTATAATACATTAGGGATTCAATCTTTCTTAAGGTTTTAGTGGGAGTTCCTTTTAGATTAATTTTAATTTTGATGTTTAATTTAAATTAATTTTAAAGTTAAAACTTATTATAAATTATTAATTTTAAATTACTTAACTCATTTAACATTCTAGCCATATGATTATTACTTTACCATCTATTTAACAGGTCAAACTTTAAATGGTGTCCCCTCAACGATGCTATTTGTGCAAATTTGTCCTTGTTTAAAAGCCCAAGTTCTTAATCTCAAAAGTGTGTTTTGAGCCCAAGCCCATATTTATTCTATTTGCAAATAAGAGCCTTACATTCAATTCTGGGCCTCTTTGCTAAAACATTTGTATTAAGGCTTCTCTACAAAAATTTCGCTAGTTTAGAAGCTAAAGTTTTTAGAAATCACATAATTTTAATATGAAATTATAATGGATCTCTCTTTAGTTTATAATTACATTAATTTCTTAAAAAGTAGCACAAACTGAATATATTAATATGTAACTTGGATACATTATAGAGTATCTCGAATACATTATATTATAAAATGGATACATAATATGTAGCTCAAATACATTAAAAACTAGCTCGGATACATAATATGTAGCTCAAATACATTAAAAACTAGCTCGGATACATAATATGTAGCTCGAATACACTAAAAACTAGCTCGGATACATTATAAAATAAATCGGATCCATAATATGTAGCTGGGATACATTAAATACTAGCTACAATACATTAATACGTAGCTCGAGTACATTAAAGAAATAAGGGATTTTAGAGACTTCTAGAAATCAAAGGGGATATTGGAAACAAAGAAAACATAAGACGAGTATTTCAGTAATTTTTCTAATTATTTATATATATTTTGATTTGAAATATTACGAAGTTTATCAGCTTTTGGTGCGTTTAGATACATACATTGCATCCAAGTAAATTCGCATGTATTTGGGATACATAACAAATCTAGCTCGCCACTCTCTTATGCATATAGTATCCCATATACATATGAATCATACCAGGTACATACCAATACATGTATCTAGTCTGATGGGATACATGACTATCTTGCTCACCTCTCTCCCTATTTTAGTACATCCGGTTGACACTTTTTAAGAATCCGAACGACATAGATTCCGGAGCTCATACAAGTCAAAACTATTGCATTCTTGTTAATATTTAAAGCAGGCCAAAGATCTTCTTGTTACAACATATTCTCTTAGCCAAATAAGTAAAGAGAGAGTAGTCTGTGATAACTCCAATAAAACTATGTAATATAAATCAAATCATACCAAATCAATTATTTTCAAAGCCTTCAATCATGGCACAAGAAAATGATCAAGTACTCCATGTAGTTTTCATTCCATACTTGACACCAAGTCACATGATCCCTTTAGTTGATACATCTAGACTTTTTGCTAGTCATGGTGTCAAAGTTAGTATTATCACAACCCCCTACAACGCCCTCCTTTTCGAGTCCTCAATCGATCATGCTACTGAATTAGGTCACGAAATCTTCGTCCACAAGCTTAAATTTCCATCTGATGAAGTAGGCTTAGCTGAAGGGATTGAAAACTTCAGTGTTACCACTAGTCAAGAAATGGCTATAGGTGTATTTATGGGAATTGATTTGCTTCAAAAACCAATGGAAAGTCTTATTTTCGAGCTACGTCCTCATTGCATTGTATCAGACCTGCTTTTACCTTGGACTGTGGATGTAGCAGAGCAATTGAAGATTCCTAGACTTGCGTTTTACCCGACTAATGTTATGTATCATTGTGTTGAACATTGTTTGAAGATGTATACACCTCATGAGAAGGTAAGTTCGGATTCAGAAAGTTTTAAGGTTCTGGGATTACCAGATGAGATTGAAATGAAACGATCTCAACTACCCGAAGATGTGAAAAACAACCCTGAAGGACCATATTGGGAGTTGTTGAAGAGGATTAAAGAATCAGAACCGCGGAGTTATGGTATGATTCATAACACTATCTATGATCTAGAACCGAGTTATGCTGAGCTTTATCAAAGAATCAAAGGTAAAAAGCCGTGGCTTATTGGTCCTTCGTTTCATTTTTCAAAGAGAAACAATTCGAGAAGTAGTCCAGATCAAGAGCGACATAGCTGCTTGAGTTGGCTTGATTCTCAAGAATCAAACTCTGTTGTTTACATTTGTTTTGGAAGTATGGGAAGGTTTTCGGAACCTCAGCTTACTGAAATTGCCTTAGCTCTTGAGTCCTCGAATTCGACCTTTCTTTGGGTGGTAAGAAAGGGAGATAACACACATGAAAGTTGGCTCCCCATCGGGTTTGAGGAAAAAATGTTTGCAAACAATAAAGGTCTGATAGTTAGAGAATGGGTGCCACAGCTGAAGATCTTGAACCATCCAGCAACCGGAGCGTTCATGACTCACTGTGGCTGGAACTCTACCCTGGAATCTCTTACATCCGGAGTGCCAATGCTGACATGGCCATTGTTCGCGGAGCAGTTCTACAATGAGAAACTGGTGGAGGTACTTGGATGTGGAGTCAGTGTGGGGGCAGAGGTGTGGCATATTTCATTTGACATCACGGATACGATTGTGAAGAAGGAGAAGATAGAGGCGAGTGTGAAAATGTTGATGAACGCCTCTATGGAAAGTGAAAATATCAGAAATAGAGCAAAAGACGTCGAAGCAATAATCAACAGGGCTGTGGAGGAAGGAGGTTCATCTTATAATCATCTAACTGCATTAATACAAGAGATGAAGTTTCATGCTTTTGGCATATCAGAAGAGTAATAAGAAATCTAATGTCCCGAGCTTCGCTCATTTTCCCTAAAATATGGAGTTACGGTCACTCAACTAATACTAGTTATTATCTCAAAAAGGCATACTTCTTCTTGATTTCAATCTTCTTCGACAAAGAAAATGACTTTCTGAGATAATAAACTCGAGTGGAAGTTTTACTTTTTTTTGGGGAAGTTTCTAAAAAGTAACATAGGGAGCTGTCTATGATACTTATTGTGGTACACATTGATTTTTGTACTCATGCTACACCTACATATTCCATGTCACACTTTACTTTTTAGTCGATCTATATAATTAATAGTTTACTTTAAAATGTTCATTTCATCCTAATAGGACAATTTATAGTCATACAAACATCTATAACTTGTTTTACACTACAAGTTTCAAGTCTTACTTGAACGTCGCGTCAAGCCAAACATCACATAAATTAAAATGGAGGGAGTAGTACCTAGGTACTCTTTGGCCCACATCTCCCTTTCAACTGATTGTGCAAAAAGATAACACATGGAGAACCACTCAAAATATTGATACAACTAATCCAAAATAAGATTCCTTGAAGAAACATACATTGTATACTAATGTTTTTCCATGAGTTTATTAGGCTATCTGTGATGTGTTTGAATCTAATATTAGGCTAGTCATGGTGCTAAAGTTAGTATCATCACCACCCCCTACAATGGTTCAAGAAGGAGAAGATAGAGGCGAGTTTGAAGATGATGAACACCTCCACGGAAAGTGAAATGATCAAATTCAATTCAATCTTCAGACTGATTTTTGAGTTTACAACTTCACATTATACAAAACGTCAAAACCTAAAGTAAGAACTCTTTTCCTCTTAATTTCTCTCTGTGTTGCACTTGTACAGTTCTTTTCATGTTAGTTATTATTATTTCTATTTTATGAGCGTTCTATTATTGTTTTGTCACGTCAAGTTGACGTTGGAGAAGTCATATATTTGTTTTATAAGCATTTTTTCTTATTGGTTAAACTGAAAACCGATAAATTGAAACCAATAAAAAATATCTTATTGATTTAGTGTAGTACCAAATCGAACCGACCGACGCACACCCTTACTTTCCAACTGCAGATGTGCAGAAAGATAACATAGGGAGTACCACTGATTGAATATAATAATAATCCAAGATAAACATACCTTGTATTTTAATGTTTTTCATGACTTTTTTAGGCTATCTGTAATATGTCTGAATCTAATATTAAGTGAGTTTCCATCCCTTCTTCAAGCTCACTCATGGCACAAAAAAATGGTGAAACACTTCATGTAGTTTTCATTCCATATTTCACACCAAGTCATATGATCCCATTAGTTGATATTGCTAGACTTTTTGCTAGTCATGGTGTCAAAGTTAGTATCATCACAACCCCCTACAACGCCCTCCTTTTCGAGTCCTCAATCGATCATGCTACTGAATTAGGCCACGAAATATCCGTCCACAAACTTAAATTTCCATCTGATGAAGTAGGCTTAGCTGAAGGGATTGAAAACTTCAGTGCTGCCACCAGCCAAGAAATGGCTATAAGTGTGTTCATGGGAATCCCTCTGCTTCAAAAACCAATGGAAAGTCTCATTTTCGAGCTACGTCCTCATTGCATTGTATCAGACCTGCTTTTACCCTGGACAGTGGATGTAGCAGAGCAATTGAAGATTCCTAGACTTGCGTTTTATCCGACTAATGTTATGTACCACTGTGTTGAACATTGTTTGAAGCTGTATACACCTCATGAGAAGGTAAGTTCGGATTCAGAAAGTTTTAAGGTTCCGGGATTACCAGATGAGATTGAAATGAGAAGATCTCAATTGCCAGAGAATATTAAAACTGAATCTGAAGGACCTTATTGGGAGCTGATGAAGAGAGTTAAAGAATCAGAAACTCGGAGCTATGCTATGATTCACGATACTATCTATGATCTAGAGCCGAGTTATGCTGAGCTTTATCAAGAAATCAAAGGTAAAAAGCCTTGGCTTATTGGACCTTCGTTTCATTTTTCAAAGAGAAACAAATCGAGAAGTAGTCCAGATCAAGAGCGATATAGCTGCTTGAGTTGGCTTGATTCTCAAGAACCAAACTCTGTTGTGTACATTTGTTTCGGAAGTATGGGCAGGTTCTCTGATGCTCAGCTTACAGAAATCGCCTTTGCTCTTGAGGCCTCGAATTCATCGTTTCTTTGGGTGGTTAGGAAGGGAAACGAACCCCAAGAAAACGAACAAGAGAACTGGATGCCTTCTATCTTTAAGGCAAAAATGCTTACAAACAACAAAGGTTTGCTAGTCAGAGGATGGGTGCCACAGCTGAAGATCTTGAACCATCCAGCAACTGGAGCGTTCATGACTCATTGTGGCTGGAATTCCACCCTGGAGTCTCTTACAGCCGGAGTGCCAATGCTGACATGGCCATTGTTCGCGGAGCAGTTCTATAATGAGAAGCTAGTGGAGGTTCTTGGATGTGGAGTCAAGGTCGGGGCAGAGGTGTGGCACAGTACTTTTGACATCAAGAATACGATTGTCAATAAAGAGATGATAGAGGCGAGTTTGAAGATGTTGATGAACACCTCCACGGGAAGTACAAAGATCAGAAGTAGAGCAAAAGACGTCGAAGCAATGATTAAGAGAGCTGTGGAGAAGGGAGGCTCTTCTTATAATCATCTAACTGCACTAATAGAGGAGCTCAAGTGCCATGTTTTTAGCACCTCAGAAGAGTAATTGAAAATAAGCACACATATTATGTTTAAAGCAATCTTTTTCCCCGACTCCACTTATGGACTACACTGAGTGTGTCGTTGATGTTGTTTCAGGTATAGACAAGAATGAAAATGAAACTATGTGAACCTGTAAGATGTAGAATGCACCTACTACGGAGTGATTGAATTTGTGTTTCTTAATTTGCTCGTGACAAAGCAACATTATTTCAACTACTCGATTTAAACGTTCGATCCCTACCTCACTTGGTAGGACCATATGTCCGTTTTGTCCAAATTTACGTGATTCACTTTTCCTTCTAGTCGGTTCCAACAAGAACGACTCATTTCTATATTTAGTTACAATTGGGGTGATTTACAATCACACAAACATCTATTACACACTTTCTTTTTTTAAACTTAGTGTCAAATCAAACAACGTCACATAAATTGAAACAAACGGAGTAGTATTTTGCGGCCCACATCTTCCTTTCATAACTTTTCTTAAAGATAACACAGGAGAATCATTCAATATATTAATTAAACATAACAACTACTCCAAAATAAGATTTGTTAAAGAAACATACCTTGCATTTTTAATGTTTTTCTCATGATCTAACAAAACAAAACATGATTTTTTAGGCTATTTTCAGTTGTTTCTTACCCTACTTCTGCTATTCTTAGATAAGCACTAATGGCACAAGAAAACAGTGAACTCCATGTAGTTTTTGTTCCATACTTTACACCAAGTCATATGATCCCTTTAGTTGATATAGCTAGACTTCTTGCTAGCCATGGAGTCAAAGTTAGTATTATAACCACACACACTATAATGCCCTCCTTTTCGAAGGTCCTCTGTCGAGGATCTGGTAACCAGATCTTCATTCACAAATTCAAGTTCTCATCTGATGAAGTAGGCTTACCAGAAGGGATCGAAAACTTCAGTGCAGTCACTAGCAAAGAAATGGCTATGGTAAGTGTATTTTTGGGAATTGCTTTGCTTCAGAAACCAATCGAAGATCTTATTGTTGAGCTTCGTCCTCATTGCATAGTTTCAGATGTGGGTCTTACATGGACCTTGGACGTAGCTGAGAAACTGAAGATACCTACGAGTTACATTTTCTCCACATAATCTTATGTACCACTGTGTTGAACCATTGTTTGAACGTGTATACGCCCCATGAGAAGGTAAGTTTGGATTCAGAAAGTTTCTTGATTCCAGGTTTACCAGATCAGATTGAAATGCAAAGATCTCAACTGCCGGAGAATATGAAAACCAAAACTGAAGGACCATACTGGGAGACAATGAAGAGAATTAAAGAATCAGAACCTCGGAGCTATGCTGTGATTCATAACACTATCTATGACCTGGAGTCTAGTTACGCGGAGCTTTACAAGGAAATCAAAGGTAAAAAACCATGGTAGATTGGTCCTTTGTTTCACTTTTCAAAGAGAGAAGAAGCAAGCAATTCAAGGAACACATCAGTTCAAGATCAACACAGCTGTCTAAGTTGGCTTGATTCTCAAGAACCAAACTCTATTGTGTACATTTGTTTCAGAAGTATGGGGAGGTTTTCTGATGCTCAGCTTACTGAAATTGCCTTGGCTCTTGAGGCCTTGAATTCATCGTTTCTTTGGGTGATAAAGAAGGGAGACGAACCTCAAGAAAATGAGCACGAAAGCTGGACGCCTACTAGCTTTAAGGAAAAAATGCTTACAAACAACAAAGGTATGATAGTCAGAGGACGGGTGCCACAGATGAAGATCTTGAACCATCCAGCAACTGGTGCGTTCATGACTCACTGTGGCTGGAACTCTACCCTGGAATCTCTTACAGTCGGAATGTTTTTGGCACTTTGGAAGTGTAATTCAAAATTCAAATCACTAAGCACTCCTTAATCTTCACAAGACGAGATAATAAAATATAATCAATAGAACAATCACATCGTCAAAATAACAGATAGCATGCATGTTGCACACTGACTATACTCATTGTTCAATCATAAAGAAGATAAGCTCCAAATTTGACGTCAAACGGACACCATGTCAACGAGGACTAACAATGTCACATAATTGTATAATTCATAACTAACTAATGCTAGACAGGAGCTGGATACTGCTTGGCTTGCTGTCTCACTCGTTTCTTATACTCAGCACCATCCTGCAAAAGCAAGGTCACATATATAGTAACGACAAGTTAAAATTAAAGTGCCTACTTAATTTTTTTCCTGAAAAAGTTCAATGAAGTACACATCAAGCTTGAGTACGTAGTTACCTGCATGTATAGCTGATAGCCTTCTGTTTGTGCTGGATCGCTGGGGTTTGGCTGATCAAGCAAATCTTGGATGCCCACCAAAATTTGTTTAACTGTAATGGCAGGCCTCCACCCCTAAACAAGAATATAACCAACAGAATAATCGTAAGCCGATATACCTATTGACAATACTAACAAAATAATAACAACGATAAGAACTTACACTGTCTTCATTGAGGATAGACAAACATACTGTTCCCGAGGGATAGACATTAGGATGAAAGAAACCTTGAGGAAACTTGCACTTGGGCGGTTTGCTAGGGAAGTCTTCGCTGAAGTACATTGTTATCGGATAGAAGCCGCCTTCCCAGTCAGTCTGTACCATAGCAGTTACGATATCATATCACTATTGCTGACAAATATTAGATGAAAGAACTGAGGAAAGGGGAGAACAGAGTTTCAATACCGTAAAGACTTGCAGAAGCCAGAATATGTTTTACATTAAACCGTAAATGTAACAAAACTTTCCAAAAGTGTGCAAAACTTATTAGAGCATCGTTCAGAAACTCAAATCATTTCAAACTAAACATACTTTCGCATGAAATGTGGAAAGAATGTACCGTGATTGTTTACGCAATTAACCTATTTCAAGAAAACATCCTTTCATTTATACACAAAAGCAATCAAAGTTCACTTCTTGTGGTACTATGAGAAAATAGACTTTTACATCCTCGCGAAGATCATATTCTTCTTACTCCATATACTAAATCCAGGAAGTCATGCACATACTTACCTTACAACACTGTAAGGTTATAACTTTTTTTCGAGAAATTTGCACCAAACCACTGAATATACATATGTTATATACGATTTTATCAATTATGAAAATTCATCATAAATCGACAAGTTTCACTATGGCTACCAACCTACCTCAACCCTACTCCTCTATCTAGAAGTACTAGGGGTGGCAACTTGGCGAGTTGAGTCATATTGGGCGGATCATAATGGGTTAAGATAACAATTGGGTCAAAACGCAACTCAACCCAAATTTGCTCAAATCAAAACGAGTTATTAATGTGTTATATAACAAGTCAAGACCCTACCCAACCCAGATTTTTACTAAAGCTTAATTATTTTATTTGTTCTTTTAAATTACTTTTTTTTATGACAAGGGAAACCCTCAACCGCTACTCTTTGGGTGTGCACAGAGTAAAACACCCGCTCCTATGCAATAGCTCGCAAAACACATAGGAGAGGTAATCCGCACTAGACAAGACTAGTGCAACAAGCTCGACCCACAAGGCAAACCCCTTGCTTTCGCTGGCAAGGGGTTTCAAACTCGAGACCTCCAACATTAAAGTCTTAAGCTCAAATCACTGGTTTTAAATTACTTTAGTATCTAATAATTTTTTTTTCTTTATTATGACTACATATATATAACATATCAAATCGAAGAAAAAAAGACAGATTTCTCCTGAGTCAATTCGACTTACGTACCAACCCAACATTAAATGGGTTAAGGTAACGAATGAACATGTCAATAACCCGTCCAAACAAGTTAAGCGGATTGAGTTTGATTTTGACACCTCTGCTTACAACACAGACAATGTGAGCGACCTCACACAAGCAAACACTCTTTTATTAATTGTAAAAATTCTAACTTCCCCAATTTCACTACTGCTAAACCATCCATACAAAAATTACTCACCTTGGCTTTTCCAGGGATAGAACAGTGCCACACCATCAAATTTACAGATCCATCTGCACCAGTTTCCGGCCTAGCCACAAAACCCTAAAAAAAAAAACCGGTGAAGATAATCCATCGAACTATCAAATCAACAGACACTTAAAATCCATTAATGTGCAAACAAAAAAGTACTTTTAGCAAAAGAATAAAAAAAATACATGTGGATGATTCTTCCGCCATGATTTGCGTTCCTCAGTAAGACGACCACGTGCGATTCCGTCAGCCATTTTTGCCCCCCTTTTTTTGGTTTCTATGAAAATTTTGAATGATCGAAAAGAGGAAAAATAAAAGGGTTTTTAAGTTTGTAATTGTAGGATTATCATGTAATCTTAGTTGGATTTGAATTTTGGTAATCCAATCTTAATTCAAATATTTCTTCATAAAAAAAATAAAATAAAATTTATTTGATTAATGTCAAATTAATTAAGCTTATTATGATGATGTGATTTACGAAAACATTAATTCACTGTAAGTAAATTCTATTTATTATGATTAGAAGTATAGTTCTTAAGTAGATTCTAATGTTACAATCCTGAGTCATTTTTGGTAGATAGATTAAAAAAAAGTTATACATATATTACTTTTTATATAAGATGCAATATTTGATTAGATGAGAAATAAGTTCTTCGTATTATAATATTGATATGGTGTTTGGTTAGTTGACAATTTTGAAACTATTATGACTAATACATACTCCAATAATATATAAATTCATTTATAACTAATTCGTACATTATTATTACTTGCATAACTCTAACCAGCTATCAAATAAACCAGGTTGTTGTTGGGCATTCTCTGTCATAGCTTCCATTGAATCAATAAACGCAATAGTGACCGGGGATTTGATATCACTATCTGAGCAAGAGTTGGTTGGATTGTGATACATCGCGCAATAATGGATGCTATGGCAGAGATATGAACGATGTCTTTAGATTTGTGATTAAGAACGGAGCAATTGATAGTAAAGAAGACTACCTTACAAAGAATGCGAAGATAATTGTGACAAACTTAGAGTCGATATAACATTTTAATTTCAAATTTTCACTTTTAAAATGAACGAAATATATATCAGTATTTGAGACATTTTAAAATGTAGAAAAATGCCAAGGTTGCAAATCAACCTGTCAGCATTGCTATTGAATCTAGTAGCAGAAATCTCCAGCACTACATATGGGTAATGTTTTTTCCTTTAATTTCGAACGAAAATCGTTAAATCTATATTACTAAGATACT